TTATGCGAAGCATATGCGATGCGAAAAAATGGTTGATTATGCGCATAACGCCGCATCGCATAATCCTGGACACCCTACCCTAAAGTCAGGTATTCTTATGAGTTTGAGATCACGTGTCTGCAGAGTTTTATTGGGGTGGTTGGTTAGTTTTGACGACGATACTGGGGAAGATAGCGATTTACGTAATCGTTGAAACAATAATCATGCCGCATGTCAACAATTACGTAAATCGGGCATCGGTCTTCAATCAACGTGCTAAGGTAATCAAGTGTTCGTGTATTCACTAAAAAAAAATTTATTTGCCATTTACAACCATTTCGAAAATGGCGATAATTGATATAAATTTTTTACGGGTCTCTGATTTGAAGACTTTTCTACAGAGAACTTAATGCACAATTACGGTCTGAATCTGGTTAAAACTTTTAAACAGTGTCACGCTTGACACCTATAACAATTCCCGTATGTACACTGTGAACCAATATAGAATACAGTTTTATCAATTTACTCGTCGTTAATGATGCCACTCATATATATGAACATTTAGCCGCAAAAAATCTACATTTATCTTATCAGTTTAATATATAATATAGGTGTATAAATCAAAAATGAATATAAAATAAGTTAGAAGTTGAAAAAATATTAAGAGTTATTAATACAAATAAATAAAATATCAAAAAGAAATTATTTCCGTAATTCGAGAAACTTATTCTTAATGACTTCATTATCTATTAAATCTTGACTTTCCTTAAACAATGCAAAGGCACGATTAGGAATTTTTTGACGACATTTTTCGACACGATCATTAAATTCCTGAAGAGGGTCTATGCTCGGTGTAGTTGGAGTGGGTGGTGTTAACGGTGTTGTTGGCGATGATTCCTCGGATTCAGAAGGCGAAGGCGGTGTTCTATTACCAGAGTTACCATCAAAATTATCTACGATAGTATCACTTACAACTGGCATCGTCTTTACAGATTTGGACGGCAAAGGTGAACGCCTCGGAACAAATGGAAAAGATTTTGATCGTCTCGGAGGTGGTGGACGCATTTTGATGCGTTCTGTGGACACGTCACGGATAAAGACGTATAAAATTTGCTCAGGAAATTCTTCTGCCATGTCGGAATAACTTTTTTTTTTTTTCAAAAAAAAAAAATTAGCGTATTTTTGGAAATGAAATTCTCGAAAAACAGCAAAAATAAATAAATACATTTCCATGTCCGATTCTCCACTATCACCAATAAGAATAAATTTTCTCTGAGGAAAGTCCTGTTGAGAAAGTATACAATCAGAATCTATATAGATTGGTTATTGTTACATGAACTGAAGTACTAACCTTAATAATATTTCTAATATATTGGCGTTTTGAACTACCAGAGTCCATTAGGTTTTTAAGATCATATAGTTTTAAGTGTGCCGAACCGGGTGGAAAATTCTTAGTGCGGAAAAATTGGTTGAGCATGGGAAATAGTTGCCAAGGTGAATTTGACACGTAGTGTATCGACGCGCCTTGTTTATACTATTACGTATAAAAATAAACCATTAATTCCTGTAAAAAAATTAAATCCCAATTATTAGTTATGTATTTTATTTTTATACGAACCCATTCCTGATAAACATTTGCCATACCGGAAACCTAGCGAATGTCAAGGACAGATGAATAATCGTAGTCTAAGGAAAGACATTTAACGTCAAAGACTTTTACCTCCTGCTGATCATACAAAAAGGTGCTAGAAAGAGCTGCACGTGGACCACTGGTTATGTCCGTGTGTTTAATAGTATCATCGATATCCTTTGGAATATAAAGGATTTGTTACGAAAAATAGAGTAGAGTGACACATGCATATTAAAAAAAGCTCATTTACGGATATAATAGATATGCCATGAACACCAATCAAGTTGGCGAAACCATGAAATTTGTCCGCTACGAAATCAATGAATTTTAATAAAAGTTTTCGAATAGTACACTCAATTTATCATAGGCTGAGTTACTTACCATATATATCTCTCTCTGATACTGGAAATGTTGATACTGGAAATGCTGATAATTTCAGCCATCTTGCAGGATTATCTTCTTTTGCGTTAGCAATCCACTGGTCGACAGTTTCGACAAGAATCTCAATTTCGCCTGAAAAATGACCGGTGCCACTCGTAATTTTAGTGGAATATGATTCGTCAGTCGGTGGCGTAATACCGTTAACATCAGGGTCACGATCTAGTTCCATATGTGATGGATGAGCAAGGCCATCTATCTGAACTATATAATCTTGATTTCGAAGGTTTTTTGCCAAAAACATGCTAACCCTATCTTCAAGTGTTTTGCTTTTTTCTTCATCATTGTTCACACCAGCTACTCGACGTGCAACTCCTTATTGAATTTAAGGAAGTTAAAGTGATATACTTAATCACAATTATCATTCTACTTTGTGCATTTAAGCACTTACCCATCATTAATTTTTGCTTACGACTTTGAGTTTTTGAGATATAAGCCCAACCTCGTACACGAACTTTCCATAATTCTTTTCCTATCAAATGAGAACAAATAGATAAATGTCATAGCATTTACACACATCATTATTTGATAATTATATTGCTGCATTAACGGATTCTAAACATTATTATCCATTTTGACAATACATTAGCGAAACAATAACGCCAATGACCAGATCTCTATACCTTGCTCATTTTCTGTTCGACAAGCATATGAAGGAATTAATATACAGTTTTGTTCAGAGGTAACCAACACGTTTTGTTCAGAAGTAGCCAACACTTCAACCTCGGTAGTAGTGCTTATGCTTGCACCTTGTACTTCTTGTGTAGGCCGTGCATCTGCGCATGAATGATTATTCGCCTCGCCAAAATTTTGTTGAATTTTTTCTTTTACCAAAGCATGAAATTTGTCCATTAAGGACAAGGAATTTTTTGCTCAATAGTCCAAAAAGTCAAACGCGAAAAGAAACTCACTATAGAAAATTGAATAATTTCTTCGGGCTTTGCTTAGATCAAAGTTTTTTTTAAATGTACACGATGATCACACAAGAACCACATTAGGGCAGTGTTTTTGATTTTTTTGGCATCCAAGATATAGGATACCTTTCTTTTGATTGGTCAATTTTGTTTTCGAAAATGTAACATTTCTTAAGTAAAAAAATATATAATCAAAGACAATCTCTAGTCATGAACAAGGAATAACGCACATTATATGAAAGATCCGATTGACATTACTTTGAAGGCAAAATTATTTGTCGTAGATTACACATGACTCTTAGATAATATAATTTAGTACGGAGAAACAAATCATTACGATTAGCACTACGTATAAAAAAAATCTTAAATTCGTGTAAAAAAAAAAAGGAAATAAAGGTGCCACAGTATTTTTCTTTCTAATTATAGATTCATTATTGTATAGCGGTCAAGTGAAATGTCTGAAAATTTTCAGGGTAATGATTTAATTAGTGGATCTGCAAGTTGCAGCACATATGAAAT